GGCCAGCCTGTGCCAATGCCTGACCACCCTTTCGGTGAAGAAGTTTTTCCTAATATCCAACCTAAACCTGCCCTGGCGCAGCTTGAGGCCGTTTCCTCTCGTCCTATCACTTGTTACTGGGGAGAAGAGACTGAACCCCACCTCTCTACATGTTTATTACAAGCGTAATTTATAGGTTCCACAGATAGTACATTACAAACCAATAAATACTATGTGACAGGAAAGACTATTTAACTTAGGGAAAAACTTGAAAGAAACAGAGGTGATCCCTGAAAGTCTATTAACATAAGCTGTGTATTAGGGAGGCTCTACAGACAAAAGAACTGTAAGTTTGCCTGGAATTTGCTCAAGCAAAAAAATTTATTCCACAATAAAACGCAACACCATTCTTGAGCGCATAAGGAATCATGGATTACAGGCAACAACATGACCAGAAAGCTTATTTAAAGGATGAAGAGAGATAAGAAAAGAAACATATTTTAAATTCATCAAAGAAAATATTATTAAACACTATGAAAGTAGTATCTTCTGGCAATACAAGGATGAAGATGCAACTGTTGCATTTTTAGGAACATCTCTACGAGAAATGTGAGTGGAGTTTCTCTGTTTCGTCTCCAAGTAATATTTTGTTTTACTATTAACATTATGTCCTGTAGCCTGCATATCAAAAAACCCACTCAAAAATCTGAGAGGCTGAAGAGAGCATGAGAAGAACAACCAGGGAAAGTGCAGGCCATCAGGGATGAGAAACCAATGGAATCTGAGGTAAGTTTCCGTCATGTTATTTACACTACATATAAACCACAATTATTCCAAATGATGCATGCATGAAAATGACAAATATACAGTCTTAAACAAAACAATCAAAGAAAATCTAAATATCTAAGCTTAACAGGGTATTTCATAGCCACCTCATTTTAAGCCTAACAGTTTTCAGGTAGCACACAGTGACCAATATCCCCAATATATTTGGAAGTTCCTAGCAAGCAAATTTTTGTACCCATTAAGTCATACCAGTTTTGTGGTTTTTTGTTTGGTTGTTTTTGGGTTTTGTTTTTTTAAGCTAACCATCAGAATTATAAAATAGTTAAAGGGTCTTTAGAGTTAAAACTGAAAAGAATTGACATGGTTTAATAATTAAATCCAGCCTTCCAAGAAAACGCAGTTACACACATTTTAACAACAAATCCAGAAGAAACAACAACCAACACGAATTGTGCTTTCCCTGTTCCACGTAATAAATCAGATTGCTCTCAACCTTTCCGT